GGTCAGGCTTGGACTTTTAGATGTGAGGGATCAGCCCTGGTTTTCTGGGGTATCAAAGGAGGGGATCTCAAGGTACTTTTTGACTTGGAGAGAAAAAGAATAATAATTTCAGCTATTTGAAAGGTAAAAGATGGCCAAAATATTTGCCAAGGAATTGAAGTCTGGGAGGTCTATCTTAAGCATCCTTGGCAGAGACCTCTTGATCAGAGGATGGCCTCAGAAATAGAGGTTGGCAAATCCTGTCCAAGGTCATTGCCAGGGCTCTTGATTGTGACCTCACCTGTGAACTAAGACTTCCCACAGGGTGCATCTCTATTTTTCCCATGATAGCAAACCAATAAAAGCAATCAAACCTCATGCTCTAGCAAAGGAATGGGGAAAATTTCTCCTTTAAACTCCCCCATGTGTTTCAAGAAGCAGAAGATGCTTTTTGATTTGCTGGTGAGAAGTAGGGATACTATAAAAGACTCTGAGCCTGGGTGTTTAGTTCATGGCTAGGGTTTCATTTATGTGTACATGTATTCACCAAGTATTTATTCAGCATTCATGCTACCAGGCACTGTGTTAGGCAGTGCCAACCTTGTTGGGAGACAACTCTCCACAGGTCTCTTACATTTCTTACATCTTGTGAGTGAGACACAAGCTGCCCTATGTTCTGGCCAATCTTTTCTTGGATGTTTGTATAGCAAGCAGCCCTGGAAGATGGAGATTGTTCCTCCAGAGAAGAGGGCAGGCACCTTACCAGTAGCCCAACAAGAGACTCTGGTTCTTCTAGATGGGGGCTACTCTTATGGAACTCAATCCACTGTGTGGGCAAACATTTACCTGGAACCATTGATGTTGTTCACTGGGACTTGGGGACAAACAGAACAGAAGCAGATATGCTGATGTCCACATGCTTGCTGTACTGTGGCCATAAAGCTCCATTTCTGAGCAAGGTGTCCATGTCTTCTGTTAGCATCCATGGAAGTGTCACAAGCTGACTTGTTAACTTGCAAGCAGGAAAAATCTCAGCACCTTCACAATTCCTCATAAGCTTATATCTTTATTGAATTTTATATTCAAAACATCTTTAAAATTTAAATATTTTATCTTCATTTTGTTGATTAGAACTGAAGCAGAGAAGTTAAGTAATTCTTCCTAAGTCACAGAGCTGGTTAGTGCAGGAGAAGAGATTTTTGCTTGGCTCTGTCTGCTTCCAGAACCATTCTCTTTGCATGACATGTGGACATGTTAAATTGTAAATATAAAAGTGCCTGTAATTCTATTTGTAGCACTGGGCCAGTTAAAATCCTGTTGTCCTCTAAATCACTTCATTGCTGTGATGATAAGACAGCTCAGGCAAAAAATGGAAAACAACTGAGCAGCGTCTTCTCCAAAGGAACACAAACAGGATACAAACATCAGGAGTTCCTTCCATTAAGTAAAAGTTTCTTCTCTCATATTCACATGACAGTTGGCTTGAAGCCCTACCTACTGTCCCCACCTCCCCCCTTTCCCTTGTCTTCCGGTAAAAGGATGAGATCACCTTCCCAGCAAGCAGGATGGGTTGGATCATGTGAAATCCAGACTGAAGGATGTGGAAGCTGGAATAAGGGGCATGCCCCAGGACAAGGGGTGTCTCCACCCTTTGGCAGGGCTTCCACCATGATAAGCCTTGAGAAGCTCCCTTGTACATTTCCACAATGCTTGCTGTCATGTGTCCTGTTTAACTTGATCATTGCGTATCCTTATGATAGAGACTGACCTACTCCTCCAGTGACTCCCTGTGGTCTGTAGGACAAAGCCTCATTTCTTAGTCTGGGTCCTAAGACACTCCGTAGCCCAGCCCTCGTCTACTGTGCAATAACCCAGGCCTCTCTTCCCCTCTGAAGCCTCCCTGGGTCCACCTCATTGCCAAGGTGGAATGCCCTCTCCCTCTTTGGTGTTCTATACTGAACTGTGTCACTTCTCTCACAGCATCTGTAATCCTTTAGGTCCCTGTATGTCGCATATTTACCTTCTCCATCCAGCACGAACCTCTTGAGGCAGGATTCAGTGAGGTCATCCCCACACTTAGATGGGTACATAACATGTATGTGTGGGTTGCAGTTGTATAATCAGACACACACAGGTACATGTCCTATCTGTCTTTGGATCTGAAAATTCATCATTAAATGTTCTTGTTTTGGGATTGAGCCTTTTTTTAAAAAACAAACCAGTCAAGAAGGGCCGGTACAGATGTTCTGATGTGATATCATCTAGCCAATAATTTTCCTCTTTGATAAGAGTGACTGGGTAGTCGCTTCCTGGGTGTGAATGAGGTGTGATTGATCTGAAAGCTCTTGTCATCTTTATTCTGCTAACCATCCTGCCAAGGGCCAATAGTCCAGGATTCCACTGGGCACCAACCACCACGCAGAGCAGCCTCTGTCCCAGGCCATTTCTCACTGAAAATGGGGATGTTGGCACAGGAGCCCAGGTCACCACTGGCCAGGTCATCCTGCTTGCAGAGACTTGGCCTGGGGTGCTCGGACCACAGCACTGGGTCATTTCAGCATCCCTGAGTCCTGGTGCACCTGATACCCTCCCATGAGGGGCTCCCGCTGATTCACCTCAGCCTGTGGCAGGAAAAAGGATCCTCTCTCCAGCCTGCTGGTCTCTTGGCCCTTAGAAGCTGTGCAACCTCCAACAAGCCCTTCAGTCTTTCTGAGCCTCCAGTTCCACAGGTCTAAAGGGAGGATGAGGCTGTCCACCTGAGAGGGTTACTGAGAGGATAAAAGGAGGAACCATGTGCAAAAGGCTGGGATTTCATACAGTGTGCTAGTTCCCCCTCCTTCTTCTTCTAGCCTCCCTTCTCCCTTCCTCTTCCCTTTTATCTCCCCCTCTTGCTGTCCTCTCCACTTCCCTTCTTTCTCCTTCAGAGTTCTTGGAGATTTGGTGTGTGCATTGTTATGCATACATGCCAGGCATTGTGTATAGACTTCAGTGCATTGTTGGGGAGGAATTAAAGATGAGGAAAGTGGGCTCCCTGACCTGAGGGGAAGGTGTACCATTTATTTGCACACCATTGTGTATTGCATGCGTGTATGTATGCATGCTTGTGTACGGATGTGCACATCATCTAAGATGGTGTGGTGGCCTTGCCTCTGCAGTTAGCCTGTGCCTGCTCCTTCCTGGGTGGCATCCCGATTGGCCACCTTGGACAACCCAAAGCTTCCAAGTCACAGTCACACTGCATCTGACTCTGACTGAGCCAGGGGACCCAGTGGGCCAGGATCAGGCTGTGTTTCCATAGTTTTCCAGGACACTGGGTAAGCAAGGAGGGTGAGGACCAGGGGAGGAGAGAGAGATGAGCTGAAGGGCCAGCGAGCCTGGCTGCCATGAGCCAGTTCTCAGAGAGCAGTAAGTTCTGAGGACTGCTGGACCAGGGGAGGGAGGGAGGGGTGGTCAGCTTCCTCTTCCCCACAAAGGCACTAGCCCTCAGGGAGGCCCAGGAGCTCCAGGCTCATCCCTTCCTGGAGCCTTTTTTAAAGCAAGGCATGTGTGTGTGTGGGCTCTGGGTGTCTGCTCTGGACAGTGATCTGTGCTTACAATCCTTGAAGATGAGGCCACATACCCGCATAGTCTCAAAAACCTGAAGGGATGTCACAAAGGGAAGTGATGATAGAAGTCATTTAGTGCTTCCCAAACATATTCTGAGGAGCTCTTGGCCCACAAGTTGGTGGTAGGTATTCTGGGAAGAAATGGGATCTCTGGCCAAACACACTTGGGGAATGCTGCATTCATCCCCCATCCCACGACACCCCAAGTCACAGCACACACGGAACACTAACGATGCTGGGAAGCCTTGCATGGCTTTAACTTGGCTTAACACGTCATTTTCCAAACCTATTTGTATATGGAGCACCCTTTGTGTGTGGGCTGTTTATCACCATTTTGCCAAGCTATGTTCTATAGATCAGAGTTTGGGACATATGCATAAAGCCAAACTCTTCATTTTATAGATAAGACAGTGAAAGGTGCCAGCGAGCTCGGGTTGCCCAGGGAATGGTCTCACCTTTTGGCCAGGTTCCTTCCATCACCTGCTTCTTTTCTTCTCTGTGTCTCCTTCCCCCATGACAACCCTATGACTTCTAGCTCCTTTGGTTGGTGGATATTCCCGACTGAATTTGGATCCCATTATCTGTCTAGGGAAAGTGACTGAGGACCTTTTTGCTGACTCCCAGATGTAGATGGTGCACCTCCAGAAACCTGAGCCCTAGGGAATTCCTGGTAGCCAGGCTGCGGTCTTTAACCCTGGAGCTGCTGATCTCTGGGAGATTGCTGAGCTGCTAGGGGAATGAGAGAGATTCTCATGAAAGAGGATGGTTCGTAAGTTTATCTTCCTTCTCTGCTATTCATTTTAAATTACGATTACTACTCAGGGAGCATTTAGAAGTGGTGCCATGAGGCATTTCTGCTAACCAGCACATGCATACTATATATCCAGTACCACTTAAGAGGATCCACATCAGAAGACATCACTGAGCACTGGGCACATTTGTTCCTGCCACCAACCCTGAGAGCTGGTATCATGGAGGCATGTCCACTAATGGGACGAGAACCTTGAAGCCAGAGAGGTCAAGCAGGTTGACCAGGGTTCCAGGACTAGGAAAGGGGAGCCAGCGCCCAAACCTAGTAAGTGGATTCTGCAGTCTGCGCTCCAGCCATTGCTGTGTGGCAAGAGTGTGCTTCACTCGTATTTGTTGAACAGGTCCATGTTTTCTAATACTGTACATTAGAGAATCAGTGCTTCAGCCACAGACTTGGGGGCTGGTGCAGTCTCTTTCTAGAGGGACATTCCCTTACATTTGTTTCATGAAGCAGGTGCCTGTGTGGAAAGGGAATGCTAGTCCCTTCCTCCCTCCCTCAGAGGGCCCAGGAGCCCCCTGGTTTGTCTGTGCTGGGGACTGACAATGGAGCCAGAAGTGGACTGTCCAGTCCCACCATGCACGCAGACTCTAACAGACACACAGTCGCATGGTGAAAAGCCAGTCCTGGGTGGCGTTTATTCTTTCCCAGACAATTATAGTAATGCTGGGTGCTCAGTTACATTTCAAATTTATTTCCAATCACTTAGAGCTGGCTCAATGGGAGACAAAGTTACCTTTGGCTCCATCACCGGCTGTTCCCCCAAATGTTAAGGATTGACATTTGATGCAGTCCCCTGTTAGCGTACTGATAACTCGCTTGCCTGCCCTGTCCCCAGGCCCACCTACCCCACTCATACCCAGCAAAGACTGTCATACTACACTGGTGACAAACTGCACTGCCCAGGAGGACCCAGACTTTTCCCCTTTGGCAGATAAAAAACTGGCTTTCTGGGTGGTCACGGCATCCCTGGGTCCCTGGGAGAGGCCTCTTCTGGCTCGATTCCTCCTCCTTTCCTCCCAGCTCTCTGGCCTGGCATCTAGTGTCCCCCAGGCCGGGTGCATCTCTTGGACCTAGGTGGGTGTTCCTGGTGGTGCAAGTTGTGGAGTCGTGGAGTCGGAGGCGCTGAGGGAGATGACGTCTGGTGCCCCTCAGATAAAGTACTCCTTTCTGCTGCTGTCACCGGCATCCTGGAGGGATGGGTCTTCCTGCAGGGCCGCATCCGCGCTCTCAGCAAACTCTGTGCCCTTGGCCTCATTGGTGTGGTACGTGCCCTTGTGCCGGTACATGTAGTGTAGCATGAGGAAGAGGAGAACGACCAGGACGAAGGTCACAGCGGTGATCACGCCTGCAGGTGGGAAGAAAAGCACTGCTCTGTCTGGAACCGGAGCAGGGGTTCAGGACACACAAGGGTTGTGGCAGGACAGACACGTTGCTGCAACAAACACCAACTAACCCAGATGGACTGGCTCATTCCTGCCACTCTTCTCCCTGCCCTGTGTGTGTTCACCCCTCATCTGTGCCCATCTAAGTTACTCGCTCTCTCTCCTCTTCTCTCTGCCCTCCCCCCACTCAGCACTTTGCAGACTGAGGCTGGACTAGCATCCCGGACTTGCTCCCTGCATGGGACAAGGCACTCAGTGCACTGAAGAAGTCAGATCTATATGCATAATTTGTAATAATGCAACTGTGTGGGTTTGCCTAAAACTGAGGGGTCAGGGGGACTCAGAACTTTTAGTTTTAAAACCAGGAAAATCCCAACAGATGGGTTTCCTGGGGCATGGGACTTAAAGATCTAAAACCAGGAAGGTGTCAAAAAACTGGGTGGAGTTGGGTGCGTACTATTCAGGGGGAAAGACTGGGACGACGGGCTGCATCCGAGCTGGGGCCATCGGAGATAGTTAGGGTGAAGTGTAGTTTTACTGCTCATTGCCTCACCCCAGCTCCTCTGCGCTCCTGGGAGGTAGGGTCTTCAGAATATGCAGGGGAGCAGGGGTTGGCTAAGCAAAATATTGAAGAGGGAGGGGATCCCAGAGGATGAGTGTGAGGGCATGGGGTGTAGGGAGCAGTTAGTTAATTTCTGTTTGGAATTAGGAAGAGTGGGGGGTGGGGTGAGGCTTGAGGGTTTGTCAGTAAGACCAAGTCAGTCATCGCCTTGGGGTGATGGGTGTGGGAGGATGACTGGAGAGTTTAAGCAGGGCTAACAGCGGCCCCCCGGGAGTGGGGGTTGCAAGTTTAGGCATTTTCTTTCAAGCTACAGAGCAAGACCTCTGCCTTGGTGTAGAATGTAGGTTTATTTGGGGGTTTTGAGGCTGTTGAAGAATATGGGGAGGTTAAAACTGTTCCCAAGTCCCACCTTCAAGGAATATTTTCCTAAACTTCCTGCTGCCCTCAGAACAGCACTTGCATGCATGAGGTTAATAATATTGGGTAAGAAAATGTAGTGTTCAGTGGTCCAATGAGCTGGAGAACATCAGGTTAAATAGAACTCAGCAGGAGTCTTGGAGGGCCTCCTTTACTTATTAATATCTATTGGGTTGTCAGACATATTTTTTTAATGTTTTTCGTTGCAAAAATGGGTCATGACTTTTCCGACAACCCAATAATTGTAAAGTCCATGAGCTGTTAATGAGCTGGGGAGATGTTGGAATCTCAGAAGGAAACAGTAGTCGACACCTCCCAAATCTAGTCATTCCCAAAGCATAGTTTGGGGTCTCAACCATGACTAGTGGGATCAGTGCAGGGTTTGAAGCAAGGGTTTAGGATGGGGGGATGGGGACATGGACCCAGGACAGGGAATGAGGTGGGATGGGAAGTCAGAGAGGAGTCCAGGGAGCCCTGGTCCATCTAGCGCCACCCCCCCATTAGAGTGGTTCTAACTCCAGCCCCTGATCTCCATGGATCTATGGCCTTGTGGGGGCCCTGACATTGTGCCCTCAGCAGCACCTCTCTTACTTCACCCTCGCCCACAGGGACACTGTATTGGACAATTTTTTACAGGGTCAGACTCTTCCAGTCCCCACTCAAAACTACCTTTGAGAGAGGGAAAGCCCTGGCCACATCCCCGCTTCCCAGGAAGCTTCTCCCCTGGGCATTTCCTCTGACCCTCCTGGCTGCTTGAAGGGCCCCAGGACAGCTTACCTGCAATGACGGCGATGTCCACTGTCTTAGGGGTCATCCCACGCTCGGGGTCTATGAATAGAACAGAGGAGCCTAAGTTGAGAGAGGAAGTTCCCCCACTCCAGCAGTCATCTCAGCCGAGCCTGCACCCTCTGCTGACATGTGAGCAGCTCTGTGAATGGGCCAAGTAGATAGGAAACAGCGTGTGGCATGGACAGGCCTCTGGCCAGGGGTGTACAGAGCCAGGTCCAGGCTCTGCTTGGCTGCTGATGGAGCTGGAGAGCACAAGGGAACCACCAGTGGAGCCAGACACAGTTATGGCATCTCTGGGGCTATACAGGTGTGAGGGATGAACTCCCAGCTGTCTCCTTGTGAAGAGTGGTGCCTGCACCTGACAGATGCTTTGTAGACACCTGTAGAAGCATGAAGGTGGGCCCCACTGTTGTGTTTAGTGTTAGCATCACCTGTCTTTCAGGCCTCAGCTTTTCTCATGATAGTGGTAAAACCGGACCATGTGTGGAGTGTCCACGAATGTGGAGTGTCTGTGCAGGCCACATGTCTGTTTAGTTGCCATCCATCTGTTATGTCACACGGTCTTCACAGCAATCCCATGACATGTATGGTATTAGCCCATTTCATTGGTAGGACACTGAGGCTCAGAAAGTGACACGCCCACGGCCACACAGTCCAATGGCAGCCGGGATTGAGCCTGTGCTCTCACCTCCTTTCTCTCTCTTGAAGCCTCTCGGAGGGCTCCCATTTGGAGGTTCCTCCCTGAAACCCTTCCACAAGTCTGTGCATCCTCCCCCCTGTGGGAAGGGCCACCCATGGTATTCTCCAAGTTACTGAGTGTGTTTTTCTGAAGCTCAGTGGTATGGCCACAGGGCTAGGATCTCAAGCAGAGCAGGAACCTGCATGTTACCTCGAGCTGCTGCACTGAGTGCCTCCTCTTTCTTCTGGGAGCTAAGTGAGAGGCAGGATTTATTACGCCATGGAAATAGCAATGTTAACATGGAAATCCCATGTTCCCATTACAATGACTCCACAATTAAAACAGAGGAGGCTATTTCATAAGTCATTTCTGCTCAGAGAATCACTTTAATTATAGTGCAATGAAGTCATTCACCCCAGAGCAGCTGCCAGATGCCTCTTTCTGATAAGAAAGGACCAGTTGATGCCACAAGGGACAGTAGTGGGAGTGAAGCAGAGGCTCCAGGTTGGAGGGCCTCAGGGAACAGCCAGGCTAGGGGCTGTGGGACCAGCATGGAGCTTGGAGGTGGGAGGAGGGTAGCACAAGGCCTCAATCAGCAGAGACAGTAGGCACACACCGGGAGTCAGGGCAGGGGGATGGAAAGACAGGGAAGAGTTCTGGGCTTTTAAAACCCTTCCCAGTACTGAGACTTGAGGCAGGAGGGGCAGGAAAGTTCAAGTGGGTGTGGGATTCTGTGATCCAAGGTGGACAAATGCAACCTGTCATTTAGCATCCAACACATAGTAGGCCATAAATATTCAATGAATGCATGTTTGGAGGAATACATGCATACATACGAAAATTAATGGACTCAAGAATCTGCTCTTCTGGACTCTATTCAATCACTAAGCACCTCACAGTTCAGGAAGAAAGAATAGCACTTACTTAAGTTGACATGGATGGTTATACAAGCTGGAATACCCAGGATGTTGTTAGGAATTTTCTGTGTGAAGAAGCATTTCTTTTTTTATTATCAGAGTTGCATTTTCTTGTTTTTATTTTATTTTTAAAAATTTATTTTCGGGCCGGCCAAGTGGCGCGATGGCTAAGAACTGGCTTGGGATGCCAGAGGGCCCCAGTTCAGATCTCACATATGAGGGCCAGTCACACTGCCCTCCACAGCTAAGATGCTGAACAACAGCTCAACCTGTAGTTGGGCTGCTGTGAGTCAGTGGCAGCAGTGGCGTAGGCTGCAGCCCCTGCTGCAGTGGGTTGCCATGGGCTACCGTGTGTAGCCAGCAGCCAGCGTGAGCGGCCAGCAGCCGCAGTGAGCAGCCGTCCAGAAGCCGGCGACTGATCTGCCTCGCCCGGAAAGAGTGCAATGATGGTGCCAACTTGGGCCAGTGAAGCAACGTCCTCCACAACTAGACTGAAGAACAAAACGACAGCAATTTGTCTGTTCCCCTTCTCCCAATTCCCCAGCACTGTTCCTATACCCCCAATCCCCCAATAAAAATCTTTAAAAAATTTATTTTCAATTACAGTTGACATACAATATTATATTAGTTTCAGTTGTATAGCATAATGGTTGGACATCTATATACCTCCCAAAGTGCTCACCTCAATAAGTCTAGTACCCACCTGACAAAATACACAGTTATTAAAATATTACTGACTATATTCCCTATGCTGTAATTTACATCCCCATGACTATTTTTTTGTAACTGGCAATTTGTACTTCTTAATCCCTTTCACCTTTTCATCCTTCCCCCCAACTCCCCTCCCATATGGTGACAACTAATTTGTTCTTTGTATCTATGAGTTTGTTTCTGTTTTGTTTATTCATTTATTTTGCTTTTTGGCGTCTGCATATACATGAAATCGTATGGTATTTGTCTTTCTCTGTCTGACTTATTTCATTTTGCATAATACCCTCTACATTCATCCATGTTATACTGATAAGATTTTATTCTTTTTTATGGCAGACTAATATTCCACTGTATATATGTATCATGTCTTCTTCATCCGTTCGTCTATCAACGAACACGACTTAGGTTGCTTCCATATCTTGGCTATTGCAAGTGATGTTTCAATGAATATAGGGGTGCATATGTCTTTTTAAATTAGTGTTTTGGATTTCTTTGGATAAATACCCAGGAGTGGGATTGCTGGGTCATAAGGTAGCTCTATTTTTAATTTTTTGAGATACCTCCATACTATTTTCCATAGTGGCTGCACCAATTTGCAATGCCACCAACAGTGCAAGAGGGTTCCCTTTTCTCCATATTCTTGCCAATGCTTGTTGTTTATTGATTTATTGGTGATAGATATTCTGACAGGAGTGAGGTGATATCTCATTGTGGTTTTACTTTGCATTTCTCTGATGATTAGTGACGTTGAGCATCTTTTCATATGTCTATTGGCCATGTGTATGTCTTCTTTAGAGAAATGTCTGTTCAGGTCCTCTGCCCATTTTTAAATTAGATTGTTTCTTTTATTAGTGTTAAGTTGTTATGAGTTCCTTACATATTTTAGATATTAATCCCTTATCAGATGTATCATTGGCGAATATCTTCTCCCATTCAGTAGGTTGTCTTTTCATTTTGTTGGTGGTTTCCTTTGTTTTGCAAACTCTTTTTAGTTTGATGTACTCCCATTTGTTAATTTTTTCTTTTGTTTCCCTTGCCCAAGGAGATATATCAGTAAAAATATTACTAAGGGTAATGTCTGAGAGTTTACTGCCTATGTTTTCTTCTAAGAGTTTTATGGTTTCGCCTTTTATATTTATGTCTTTAATCCATTTTGAGTTTATTATATGTGGTGTTAGAAAGTGGTCATTGCATTTCTTTACATGTATCTGTTTAGTTTTCCCAACACCATTTATTGAAGAGGCTGTCTTTATCCCATTGCATAGTCTTGCCTCCTTTGTCATAGATTAATTGACCACATAGGCATGGGTTTATTTCTGGAAACCTGATGTGAGTGATGGCAGTAGAAAAGCTCAATTGTGGGACAACTCTGCACTTCTGAACCCCCAAGTGGCCACCCAAGTTCAGGCCTCATCACAAGGTCAGGGCCAAGGCCACGTGGCCAAGTGCATGGACCACAGGTTCTTCCTGTGAGCTGGTAGGTCCAGAGAGGGAGAGGAGAGGGAAGGGCTGTCCTGCTGCTATACTCACCACCTCCCGTAGGGTGCAGCAGGGAGTGGGGAGGCAAGCCAGTGTACTCATGGAGATCTCGGAAAATGCCAGGTGTGGGCAGAACGTTCCTGGACTATGGAAGTGATTGTAGGTGTCCTGGAGGCGGGAAAAGAGGAGAAGCACTGTGCTGGTTCTCTATGCATTTATTAGGCGTAGGCACTGGGTGAGGTTGCCACTGAAGCTCCCTCATTTAATCCTACAGCAAACCAGAATAAGGGAAACATTCTCCTTTAAGTTACAGATAATAAAATGCATGTTTGAAAATTAAAATAACTTGTTGAAATCTCACAGCCACAAAAGGGCAGAGCCTATGTTTTAACCTGGGATTCCCAAGCACAGTAGCACCTGCTGCCAGGGCTGGGAACAACTTTTCTTCCGTACAACCTGCATTTTGGCTGTAGCCAATCCCTACTGGTGCTCCAGGTCCACAGAGGACAGCAGTCCCTGGGCAGCAGCAGGGTATGCAGGAGCGAACTTTCATGTGGGCGGCACCCTCCACTCCAGCTGGCAGCTTGGGCACAGCTAACAGGATGCAGGACTAGCAGCAGCTGGGTCCTGGGGAGGCGGAGGTGGTGTTTCTCAGATGTTGACAGACAGTAGTGGTCAGGTGCTGGCCCCAGGGACACAAACGGACCCTCTTCTGTGGCCACCAAGACCCTCCCTTCTCTTGTGTTTTCAGATGCAGCTGTGCTGGGAAGTTCTCTTCTCTTCTTGCAAGGCTCCATCTTCACACCTCCCACTCCCATGCTAATGGCTTTTCCATTAGCAGAAACCTCAGGGGTGATGGAGGGAATGCCCACATCCCGTGTCCCATCGCCCACATGGTCCAGCAAAGGGGAGGAATTCTGGCACAGGGCAGAGGACTCTGGGAGAGTGAATTCCTTTGAGTGAGGCTGTCTTCACACTAGGAGGCTGGGGTGTTCTGGAAAGAGGAAGATTATTTTAGCTTTAAAATCATGACGGGAAACACAGGTTTGTCATGGAGTCCTTGGAGAGTTCCTGCCATGACAGCTGTGCAGTGGCAGCCACATCTCTCGCCTGATGATTTGCCAAGCTCTGTGCTACTCACTGAGAGCCTTCTATTTTAAGAAGCCCACAGATCTGCTCAGAAGTCAGCTTACCAAGTGCTCTCCGGCCTTTGCATGAGTCTAATTTGGGTTCAGGAGGAGGACAGCTATTGGAGGACGGACAGGAACTTTTTGGTCATGGAATGTTCTCCTTGGCTCGCATTGGAGTTTTCTCATTTTTGCTTCAGATTCTGGCCTCAAATTCCTTATGCAAGTGAAGTAGAAATCACTTGACATTTGAAGTTTATTAACTGACTTTTATTTTTGGTAGGAAAAAGGTCAAATATATTTACTTTTCTTTGATGGTTTGTTGTTATCGTGACCTGAAAAGAGGTAGCATGCAAGATACAACTGGAAAAGAACTGGCCTCAGGATACAAGTGCCCCAAAGAAATAAACAACTTATTACTGGTCCCTCCACCTCTCTTGCAAGTCAGCCAGTGCTGGCTGATCAGTGAACACTTGCCCAACCCCAGGCTCTAAGGGAAGTGGAGAACATGGGGTCTGTCCTCAGGAAACTTATGACTCAGTTGACGAGACACAACATATTTATATGAAAGGTTAAACTTCTAACACTATCTGTGTGATAAAGTGTCAAAATGAGCAATACAGAGGTCTCTGGGGTTTTGTAGGGGAGACTCAACCATCAAATTCAGCCCCAGGACTCCCAGATTCTACGACAGCGAGGAAGCTCATGATTCTATTCGCTCTTTATTTCCTTCAAGCTTTCTCCAGCACCTACTACGTCCCAGCAATGTGCTTCCTAGGTAAGTCAAGTTTCCTGCCTTCAAGGCTTACTGTGCAGCAGATAAAGACAAATGCATCTGTGGGTAAATTTAGAAAGGGTAGTCCTCTCATGTTCTCAGGAAAGTCTTCTGGAGGAGGAGGTCCCCAGGCTGGCCTGCTGAGAGCTGAGGTCATCAGTGCCAACAGGAGAACTGGGTACAGTGTTAAAAGAAGGACATGGAGGGAGAGCTCATGGTGGAGTAGTCAGCCCAGCTTTTGGTCTTAACTGCTATGATGCCTGATCACTGTTTGTCAGGGGCTGGGCTCCAGGCAGCAGCTGGTTGTATGCTGGGGGGCTTAACCTGCCTGTGTCCTCCAGCGCAGCCACCTTCCCATCTGTGCAAAAGGCATGTGTCCATTTACCTGGTTTGTACACTGAATTCAGAGGGCAAGGTGGTACCTGGCCAGGCAAGGCCCATGAGAATTTGACCATCTTGGTCAGAATGTGCCTACTGGTCTCTAGGTCAAAATGATTGTGTGTCACTTTATAAACAACTTCCCCATTCCCAGGGCTGCCAAAATGCTGTGCCATGTGATGCTGCTGCTCTGACTTCCTGTAAAATGATCCAACCATGCTTTCCTCCTCCCAGTCATGCTCCTGGGTTCCCTGCTGCTCCCGTATGAAAACAGGGATGGACGCCTGGTGGGTACTGAAACCTTGCAGGCTGTAGCACACCCACAGTATCAAAACACTGCATGTTGGTTGAAACGCTGAGACCTGCAAGGCCAGGTGCCAAGGAGTGGCCTCTCTGCTTTTGATAAGAGAGCATTCCTGGCATCAGTAAACTGGGGAAGAGCAGAAACTCAGCAATCAGAAGCAGATTGTAGGCAGTGTCAGGGAGGGAATCTCTTCCATGTGTGCACCTTGGAACTTGTTCAGGAGTGTTTCACATCTAGGCACTTGTTTGGGGAGTGTGTTCACTGGAGGGGCCTGGAAAGAAAGGGGAGGATGCCATGACTCACAATCCAGAGTACTTTGTTCCAGGGTTTCTCATACCTATATCTCCCTGCTTTTGTCCCTGAGGGTTTTTTCTCTTTTTTTTTAACAGAGCTTTATTTGAACACAATGATCAGTCTGTCTGCCTCAGTTGAGCTTTGGGTTTCAGTAAAAGGAAAGAATGCTATGTCTCCATTCTTGGGCCAGAATATTAAAAAATGGGAGCAAGGCAGCATTTGTAGGATTGTGCTGAATTATGGATAAGGAGGAAAGAGATTCATGTGTTTATCATCACTGAGTACAAAATTCAAGGCCCTAAAGAATAAGGAAGTAAATACCCTCAGGAACCTGACTAGTCTTCTCAAGTGGCACCATGTTCCACCTTCCCCATCTTGAGGTGGGATTACACCTATGGTGTCAGGCAGAATTTTTCAAGCTAGTTACCTCCACTCTGGAGTCTCCTTTTCTTCATCTGCAAAATAGAGACAGAAAAACCCCTACCTAATAGGGTTCTTGTGGGCTGACATCTGAGGCTCTGGTTCTCAAACTTGAGAGTACATCAGAATTGCCTGGGGATTTGTTAACCTCAGATCACTGGACCACTGCCCCCATCACTCCAGGGTCAGCAGGTCTGAGTGGCCAAAGAGTGTGCATTTATTTCTAACACATTCCCAGGTGATATTGCTGGTCCAGGAGCTCTCCCAGAGAACCACCGAGCTTGTGACTGTAGGAATGGCTATAGACCACATCACTCGGTTCAAGTGCAATTACACAGCACTCCTTTGCAAGAACTGGGGCACCTGGTACTCTCTCAGCAATGCAACTAAGAAGTGACAGTCACAGCTGATGCCACCACAACTCTGAGCTCAGTGTCATTTCTTCAGGAGCCAGTTGATATAGTTGGAGAGCTGGCACAGTGAACTCTGAGTATTTTTCACCTCTGCCTGGCCCCAGGAAGAGCTGGGCGAGGGGACCAGGGGCCCTGTGCCAGGTCTGGTAGGTGCACATGCCCTCTGATCAGTGACTGATCAGGGACTGCAGTTGTCACTGGGCTATCATCTAAAAGGCCCTAACATTTTCAACACTTAAAGTATGTCATGAGCTATGCTTGCTTACAGGAACTGAAAAGGGTTTCAACCGCAAAGACCAAGGTGCCAAGTGCAAAAACCAAGATGCTGATGGGGCATCACGTGCAAAAGGGATGTGAACAAAGGGGCCGAGTGCAACAGAAGGATAACTATGCACGACTAAAAGAATGTAATCACTCCATGCCACAGCCTGTAAGTGCAGAGGGCTCCTCCCATTTGAGGAGAATGTGCTGTTAGATCATGAACTCACACTTCTCCATTTCTTGACCAAAGAATCAAGATTCTGTTCTGCTTTCCCAAACTCAGTCTCCCATTGATGTGAATGGCACTGGACAGAAGGGCCTTGGTGTGGGTCTCTGACTCAGAAGGGTCAGTAACACAGTTTTCTCATCCTGGAACTTTGGAAATTCTGAACGTGTTCTGAGCTGTTCTGGGGCGACCCTTTATATGCTGAGTGATTTCCGTAAGTCTATAGAAAGAAGGACAACCACTGCTGAATTGTTTAAGTGTTCCTGGGCTCTGATGGTGCGGCAGGGAGGTGTTTTTCCAAAGGAAGGTATCTAGGGCACCAAAATGGTGAAAAAAATGGATGCTTGGAGATATTTTGAGAAGCCAAGAGTGGGACTATGTATCCCCATCAGCGTTTGCTTGGCTTCCCAACTCTGAGCTCCACCAAAAGTGGCTGGAGCACAACAGGCCCTGGACACTCCTATTTCCAGCCCCAGCTCCATATCTAGACACGTAGAGAATGAGGGCACACAGGGAGCCCTATCTGTCAGGCTCAGGGCTGGGTGCCTGCCTGTGTACCTGTGAGGTGAGCACATGTATGCATTCTCCGTTGGCCAGGTGTGGAGTGGACAGGAGAAGAAGGAGTGAGGGGCAGAGAGACCAAGCTCCACACCCGACCTGGTTCATCTTGGGGAGTGCTGCAGCCCCTCGAACCTCAGCTTTGTGGCATTTCTACTGTGTAGGCTCCTTGTATGTGTGAGCGCCTGGTGCTTGCATATTCAGCTATCTGAATGTTACTTATTATCATTGTTGGCAGTGTTGGCATGGACTTGGTCAAAGTGGGAGTCTCAAAAACGGACGCCTTTAATGCTTCTGTACACTATTTGGCAAATGTGTCATCCTGAGTATCAAAAACTCCATCTCTAGTAATTGATCTTAGAGAAATAATCTGAAATGGAAACAAAAATTCATGCTTACAAAAGTGTATTGC